CCATATGTGCCCCAAATGGGGATCAAACTGTAACCTTTTGGCGTACAGGATGATGCTCCAACCACCTGAGCCACCTGGCTGGGGCAGCCTTCCTAACTTTTTTTATGAGACCAATATTACCCTAATACCAAACCCAGATTAAGGCATTAAAAACAAAACTCTTGGCCAATACTTCTTATTAGCATAGATATAAAAATCCCCAACAAAACATTAGCAAATCAAATCCAACAATATATAAAAAGAGTTATACATCATGATCAAATGAGTTTTACTCTAGTTATGTAAGGCCGGTTCACATTTAAAAATTAATCAATGTATCACAGGCCAAAGAAGAAAAAATGATATCATCATATAAATTATTTAAAATGTATGAAAGAAACCTCACTGAAGTGGGAGTGGGGTGTACTCATCTAGATAACTTTGGAAATGAGTGGAGCCTGTAAAAGTAAAAGCAAAGAACTCTACCAAGCACTGTGCTCTCATTGGTAACACTGTTTTCCATTGGAGGATGGGTGAACAATTCTGACACCACCACGTGTAAAGGAATCACGGATGGTGGCAGTCAGGTTTCTGGAGTGGAAAGGTACAAGTGAGCAAGGAGAGGAGGCTAGAATATTACGTGTAGCAATGGATTAGAGTAGGAAAAAATCAATGTAAACTAAAATTCAGCCACACATCAATATAGTTACATAGAGAAATTTTTTAGGTATGTGTATATATAGAGGTTAGAGTACACACACATATTCTTAACTCAGTCAGCTGAGCAGGTCTAGAAACAGTGACAACCAGAAGCAGCGAACACATCTATTGCCAGCTCTCCATCAGAAGGAACTAGAGATCCTCAGAGAAATGGCTGCTCCTAGGACTGGGGAAGGAAATATCCAGGGTGTGGCAAAAGTAGGTTGTTTGTATGGGAAATAATACAATAATTAATAAATAATGATACCAGGATAAACTCTGTTTCTCGAACTCACAACTGGGACCCTACTTCTGCCCTGCCCCGAACAGTCGAGCCTGGAGCATCCTGCAGGGCCGGCAAGTAGGAAGGGTTCAAAGGAGCGCAAACACTGCCGCTGCTGGGAGGACGTCAAGGGCACAGCAGCCACTGAAACAGCCCCTAGTGGGTAAGACTGAAACAAACTGAGCTATAAAATAAAGTAGTAGTAGAATTGGATTATAACTCAAAGTATAAATATATATATGTGTGTGTATAAATATACATATATATAAATAACTCAGAATATAAAATGAGTCCACACTGATATAAGTATATAATTTGAACAAATAAAATCAGAGAAGAGACAAATCTTTGCAAAGCCCCCAAAACCTTCTTAATATAGAATTTAGTTTAATAATAAATCAATATTGGCTCATTAACAGGCCAATAATAAGGGAGACTGGGTAGGTATATATGGAAACTCTCTGTACTATGTTTGCCACTCTTTCATAAATTAAAATTATTTTGAAATAAAAAGTTAATTTAAAACATTATTATATGCTAGGCACCTTTCCAGATACTGGGGACACATTGGATGGCAAGTAGACCTGGGCCCTGCCATTATGGAACTTACTGTTTAGTGGGGAGACAGCAAAAAAATGTGAGGGGTAAACAACTTTCACTGGTGAGACCCAGCATGACAGCAGCATTTACTTTAGCTGGAATTGTCAGGGTAGTCTTTTGAGACCTGGAAGATGAGAACCAAGGTCACACAAAGAACAGAGGTGAAGAAAAGAAGTTTCCAGGTACAGGAAACAACATGATCAAAGCTCATAATATAGGAGTCTTGAGGGCGGGTAGCATATACAGCGTGAATTCGCTGGACAAAAGGATGATTCATGTCCCAGATGGGATGAAGCAGGATGATGAGAGATTTCATCACGTTACTCTGAATAGCACACAATTTAAAACATGAATTGTTTATTTCTGGAATTTGCCATTTAATAGTTTCAGCCCACAGTCGAGTGTGGGTAACTGAAACGACAGAAAGCAACACTGCAAGTAAGGGGGCTGCTTCGGATGGAGGCAGTGGGCATGGGGCGGAGTGGCAGGTACACGCTGCTCTTTGCGGGTGGAGCTTCAGGAAAATTCACGGATGTTCAATTTGAGATGTCTCCACCAATCAAACAAGAGTTGGGTATGAGTCTGGAGGCGATAATAGATGTATGGTTTGAAAATACAAATTTGGAAGTCCTAAGTATGCAAATGACATTTAATGCCATAGGAACAGATGAGGTCAGAAGAGAAGACAGACAAGAGGAGCAAAGAGAAGCAGACTCAGGGAGAGAAGGAGCCAATAAAGGAGGGTAAGTAAGGAGAGGACAGTACAAAGGGCATCTTCATTCAGAACATGGGGTTCCAGAAGCCCAGTAAGTAAAGGGCTTCAGAAAGGAGAAGGTGGTCAACTGTGCCAAACACTTCCATGAGGTTGAGGACAGAAAAATGAAGAGTGAATTTCAGCATAAATGCCATTGGAGACCATGATAAAAGCGGTTTTGCTTAAGAGGAGAATGTATGGACTAGTGGTATAGCCTACTAAACACCTAGGCCATATGGTATAGTCTGTTGCTCCTAGGGCTACAAGCCTGTACAGCATGTAACTGTACAAAACAATATGAGGTTAAATCAATCACAAGAGAAAATAATGCAATCCAGAGACACAGTAAACTCGAGATGAATGAAGTTGCTTCCGGTGTAACAACATACTGTTTTACAGCAAACATTTTTTTTTTTTTTGGTATGTGCCCCTAGTGGGAACCAAACCTGGGACTCTGGTCCACAGGCCAACACTCCAACCACTGAGCCAAACCGGCCAGGACTACAGCAAATTTTTTATAAGTAAAAAAAATATTCCAAAATAAAATAAAAGTATAATATAGCAAATACATAAGCCAGCAACATAATCTTTTCTCATTATCAAGTATTATGTACTGTACATTATAGTATGTGCTATACCTGTACATGCCAGGTTTACACCAGCATCACCACAAACATGCGAGTAATGTGTTGTGTATATTATAATAGCCATGTCGCTAGGTGACAGAAATCTTTTAGCTCCATTATAACCTTACAGAAACACCATTGTATAAGCAGTCCATTGTTGACTGAAATGTCATTATGTGGTGCATGACTACCGTCTAAGTTGGAATTTCTGAAGCCTTTTTTTTTTCAACTTATTTGAAGGACAGAACTCATAACAGTGGTATATTAACAAGATGGTGGGGTGCAAGTGGGTTGACAAAGAGACAGTATTTTCCTATCTCATCTATTCCCTTATTGGGAATTAATCAGTTACAAACTACAGTAGATATTTTAAATAATAGTGTAGGGGAAAAGGTGAGACTCAAAAAAGGCAATCATTAAACACAAAATATAGAGCATCTACCTTTTCTGTGTTTTGTTTGGAACTATTGTAGCATGTAGGAAGTAGGTTAAGGTAAAAGTGGAAAGCTTGGTTCTTATCACAAGTGAGCCACCTTTGGCAATACACTTGGTCTTTATGTTTCCTATCCGATAAAATAGAGATGATCTTACCAATCCTGCCACTTTTTAGGTTGCTTTAAGACTTACCTGAAAGTTTGCCTGGCTGGTTTGACTCAGTGGATTGAGCTCGGTCCCAGTTCCTTCCATTCCTGGTCAGGGCACAGGCCCAGGTTTTGAGCTCAATCCCTGGAGGTGGGTATGTAGGAGGCAGCTGATCAATGTTTCTCCCTCACATCTCATCGATGCTTCTCTCTCTCTCGCCCTTCCTACCTCTCTAAAAAATCAATACAATTACATTTAAAACAAAAACAAAAACTTGCCCTGGCTGGTTTGGCTCAGTGATTAGAGTGTCAGCCCACAGACAAGAGAGTCCCAGGTTCGGTTCCCACTAAGGGCACGTACATTGGTTGCAGTTTGTCCTCGGTCCCGGTTGGGGTCGCATGGGTGGTAACCACTCAATGTCTCTCTCTCTCTCTCTCTCTCTCGCATCGATGTTTCTCTCTCCCTCTTTCTCCCTCTCTCCCTACCACTCTGTCTGAAGATAAATGCAAAAATATCCTCGGGGATAAAAAAAAACTTACCTGAAAATTCATTTATTTTTATAAACATTTATTGATTGACTGCCTAGTATGTCCTAGGCATTGATCTGAGGTGCATAATGAATAAAACAAATTCCTAGCTTTTGTGGAGATTACATCTCAGTTGAGGAAGATATGTAAAAAATAAAGCAATAAAAAAACAAGTGGTATTGGGGGAGAGGTTTGAGTCTGAAGAAAGGTGTTTATTTTACATACGGTGGTCAGAGAAACCTCTCTGCAATTTCACTAGAGACTTGAATGAAGAAGTGAGTTGTCACGGCCTGGACTTGGAAAGGCTTGGCGTGTTTGAGGAACGGCAGTGTGGCTGGAACAGAGTGAGCTGGTGAAATGACAATGAGGTCCAAGAGGTGGAGTTGGAGGTGTAGCTCGTGTAAGAAAGGAGTCTGGCTCTCACACACAGGCAGAGGGAAAGCCATTGGAAGGGTTTGAGCAGAAGAGGAACATAATCTGACTTATGTTTCAACAGGATCACTCTGGCTACTGTGTGGAGAACAGAATAGATTACTAGGGGTCAAAGGTGGCAAAAGGGAGACTAGGCATGCATTCAGGCAGACAAGGTAGGCTAGTTTAGACTACAGTGATAATGGTGCAAGTGGTAACTGGTTAAAATCTGGGCATATTTTGAAGAAAGAGGAATAGGGTTTCCTGATGGATTAGATGTGAAATGTGATAGAGAAGAGTGGAATAATGAGTTTAGGCCAGAACAAACGGAACACAGATATTACCAATATAAGTGAGACTGCTTTAGAATTTAAGGAGCATTATATAAGGTGATATTAACTAGTTCATTTTGTACCAGAGACCAAATAATTGATAGATTAAAATCTCATTTTAGTCCACCACAACATAAGGTATTTCATGATTTTCACCAAATATTGATTCTGCAAATTCACTAGTCAGAGGTCAGTTTACAATGGAAGTTTTCAATCAGAAAAAAGTTTTATTATAAGAAACAATGCCATCATGTAAAAATGCAAAAAACTGTGCAATTATGGCAAAATGTTTAAAAATATCTACACATTTGCCCCCAAAGGACTACAGTACTTACTACATACCTGAGCACTGAACACTGAATGACATTTTAAACTGCTTCACACAGGAAATCTGATTCCTTGCGGATCGCTTCCACTTTCTCTCATGCACCAACAAGATGAGCTTGATGTTTATGCATCAACTTGGTAGAGTAACAGAAAACATGGAAACTGAAGAACACAATTAAAACTTTCCTATAATATAGTTATACCAAGTCCAGTTTCCAATGTCTGGAAAGTATATAGGAAAGTGCCACATACATTCTTCAAATACAAAAACAAAGTGAAAGTGGGACGGGCATACTTTAGACCTTTAATTCCGCAGCCCCGTTGTGCCTTTTACTTATATTCTCAACATACTATACAAATATACCTTAACTATTTAAACATATATCTATCCACACATATTACTCATCTTAGTTTTCTAGGGTTCTTCTCAAATCACTTAAAAAGTGGCAAAGTATCCCAGCTATATAATTTAAACAAATAGTTCTCCATACAAAATTCAATATATATTCTACTCCCATAGCAAATTCTAAACCTTGGCTTTGATATACTATACTTAGATCACACCCTCAATTTAAATTGTTATATTAAAAGGATCAACTGTTGTGCAGATCAACAGAAAAAAAAATCTACTGTGGAATTAACCACAGCATGTTGTACTCCTTCCTATATGTCATACAGCACATGTATATTACTAACTCAATGCTCTATGTCATGTTTTCAAGTAACACATTTTTTCTAAATAAATACAGAAGATTGTCAAAAAGCATCAGAAAATCTTATTCAACAAAGCTTTCAAAAATAAATTACATGAACATCACTTGCAAAAGTTATTTTTTTTTCCTCCCCTCTGCAACACTTTAAAGATGCTTCAAAAAAACTCACAGAAGTAGCCCCCAAACAGCATGAAGAGGAACAGAAGGAAAAATGGGGGAGAAAAGAAGTTACTGGCTGACAGAGTGTATAAAGAGGTTATAGACACACTCTCAAGACCAGTAAGAAAAAAAACACATAACTAGCTTCACAAGAGTAGATTTTAAAATGGTAATTCTATAAATCCTGTCTACTTTGAATTCTTCTTCAGAAAACATTTCCTACTGTAAAGGTCTAAGACAAGCAGTTTGGAAAGTTTCTGAAAAACGAGGTATGTGATGCAGAGGCAATGTTTTCAATTTGTTTCACAGTATCACATCACAATTTGAAAAGAGTTTCTAATACAAACCATGCCAATTTGTTTTAAGAAAATCAAAATGTTCTAGTTGAGGACAGACTCTGGACTATACTTATATCCCTTATTTATTATTCTAGGCATAGTAAAAAATGTTAGATACAAACATCTAAGGAATTACAAATGAATTGGTTTGTTCTTTATGTGAATATTCCTAACTGATTGTTAGAAATTCATCAGTTAAATATGAAACATGATTTAGTACCTATGATGCTATGGGTTTATTCATTTACTCTTTTCCTTCTCAATCACCTTCAGCTAGAACAAGGTTTTCAATAAAAATATTTATCACTGTTAAGTGCAAAAATTAAAAAATGAATGAGGTTTTAATTGTCACATGTAACTTAAAAGACATTAAATTCAACCACTGCAGGAGTTTTATGTTTCTGTAAAACAGAATTTTAAAAGTAGGTGTAAAACTTCACATTATGCTCTGTGCAGAACAGAAATAAGTTACCTTTCACTGTACCGATAAAGACTAGACAAGTAGAGATGGAAAAGGAGGTCAGGCAACAAAATGACCCGTGTTAGTGCAAACTGTGTTGAATCTTCTCACTATTCTGGACTGAAGTCCAGTTAGATCAATAACTGGTCCTATCTTGCTATCCTGTAAGTAGAGAATCTTGTAAAATCACAAGAGTTTGACAGGTAAAGTACAATGGCCACAAAACTAACATACTAACTTGAAAGGCAGGCATAGGCTCAGACAACTTAAATCCGTCTAGCTATACACATGAATTAACTTATACTAGCACCAGCCACCGTGAATTTGGACCCTTTTCAGGATTTTAAAAATGAGACAGTGTTAGCACATGAAAAAGTTATCAACAAAAAACAGGTATTTTAAAACTTCAGCTTAATTTAAAGTTATTTGGAATATACATGAAAAAATTAGACTGAAAGTTCTTTCTGAGATGATTTGTTTTTCCTTCAATCAATTCTAAGAACACATTTAAATCTCAGTAAACTTGCAAACAGTACATAAATATAATATATATATTAAGAATGAGAATCTAAGTTAGTGCTTCTCTGTGTTGGAGAGGTCACAGCTAAAGTCCTAGTGATATTGCCTCAGAGTTTTACCCGTATTTAAAATAAAGTCACATCAAACTAGTTTGGATGTCTCTAACCAATAATACCCTAACTGCTCTTATAAGACTGCATAGTTATTAATTCATCTGGTATCTCAGAGACTATTTATCACAAAATTCTAGAATGAAAATGATTGTTTTTATACCAGAAAAAAATGCTGCTAATTGCACTTTGTTACTTTTGCTTACTGAAATGAAAATGTCACAAGGATGAAGACATCCCTCCCTACACTGTCACCTTTTAGAGCATCCACTTCCATGTACAAACTCAGCTTTCTTAAATATGCACTGCACTTCTCGTACCATTGAGACTCCTCAAGCATTGGATGTCAATGAGCTCACTAAGGCCTGCTACTTTCTAAAGTACTTTCTGAAGACACTGAGGATAGAGTTTAGCTACGGCACATTCAAAATGCCGCCCAAGGTCCCAGAGCCGATCTGGGGTCTCATACACTTTCATCCACTGGTCAGTGATGTCATCATATTGGTAAAGGGAATTTTTCCTGCTGGTTCTGAAGACATGTTCTTCAACAGTCACTTGAGTAGCTCGAACAAATAAATGGAGTTTATTCTGGAAAAGTACCAGTTTAAGGTATGGATTGATAGACTCATCACATGGAAAGTCCTTCTTACGAGTCCATTTATTTAGCTCAATGTCATAGGCTTCTACAGTAAACATGCGCTGATGATTTCCACAGGTTCCAGCTATGTAGTAGATGGAGTCTTTGTATACAGCTGCTAAGCCCTGGATTCTAGGCACAGTCATGGGGGTTAAAAATCCCCAGTAGTCTTTTTGTGGCTCATAGAAGAGGAAAAATTCTCCTAAAAAAAGAAGAATATATACATTTACATGTCTTTTCGGTTGTATATTGAGGACTAAAGAACATGTTTCAAATATTTCACTTTCTAAAATACCACTTTTATACTCTGTAGAGATACATTCATTATAAAATAGCTTAAAACTGCTTTGTTCCATGGCACAACATAACACGTAATATTATAGTCAACCTGAATTTGGGGTGTTCATAATGGGGAGAAGTGAAGAGTTATTTTGGCTTGATAGCAGAATGGTTTAGACCTTGGTTCAGCCCTGGCCGGATAGCTCAGTTGGTTACAGCACCGTCCCAACACACCAAGATTGTGGGTTCGATGTCTGGTCAGGGCACACATAAGAAGGAACCAATGAACGCATAAATAAGTGGAACAACAAATCGACATTTCTCTCACTCCCTTCTTCTAAAATCAATAAATAAAAATTTTAAAAGAAATAAAAACAATAAAAAAAAAAACTACCCTTTCCCCTACCCCCCAAAAAACAATCTTGGTTCCATTTATTCTATCCAATTGTATTTTTCAAAAAAAAAATTTAAGGCAGCTCAAAAACGCATTATTACTAATGGTTAGCCACTGAGGTAAAAGTATATATATAGATAGCTTCATCATAAATAAGCCACTATAAACTTATGTGCTCATTATTGAATTAGAAGATAGTATATGGAATTGTTGAGATTTGTCTATGGTCCACTTATGTTTCTTTTAGTGTTGCCATAATGCAAAGACAAATACTCAAGAGGTGAAAACTTGCCTTTAACATGAAAGAAAATGTATATATAGTTTATGGAGCTGACTTCAATTCTATTTTAGCAATAAAAGGATATGCTGAGTCAGACTTCTAATATAAAAATGTCTAAAAGAATTAAACTAGTGAAGATTTATAAGCGTTGGGCTAATTCTAACATTTCTATAAAATCTCTGATATAAAAATCTGAACCCTTCATGAACAAATTGATACAACAGCCACAGATAGTACAACATAAGCTTCTGACTATTCATGTCAAATTTATTTATATAAAGAAGCTTTGTTTAGATTAGAAATACCTACTTCTAAACTGAGCTTCTCCTTGAAAACTGTTTTGAACTAGGTTTACTCTTACCTACCAATTAAAATGCCTACTTAATAGTGATGTTGTGATTTCAATTTTTTGAAAAAGTAGCTTGTTAAATTCCCAGGTTTCATTTACACATCACCTGTGCTTAAATGATGGACTTGTAACAGTATTTTTAGTAAAGAATATAGGAATGAAAACTTACTAATGTGCACTACCTCTCTATAAATTTCTTATGGAAAGGAAAGATGATATATAAAAGAAAGTTGATTTTTTTAAATCTAAAATCAGCTTTAATAAATTAAAAGCAATTATGGACAATTAAGAAAACCCTCAGAGCCTCAAATTCCTTATATAAAATATAATCTTGGATTAAACAATGTTCATTCCAGCCCTGAAGTTCTACTAATTTAATGCTACTTTGCTTTAGTATTTATATTAATACACAACCTGTGCCTTGCAATTGAGTGTCTTAAAATTAATTCTATGTCTATCAACTAACTGATTAGCCATTAAGACCAAAATATATGTAAAGAGAGCTTCATCATATTGGATCCTATAATCTATCCAACCATACTCGATAGGTTATACACCCATATTATATTCCATTTTTCTGCAGGACCAACAAACCTAAATCATGCTCCTGTTTCTATTCAACTGAAATAAGGCACTAGAGAGTACCACTCCTTCTGTAAAATTAACTTTTATTGAACTTTAAACATGGGTTTCAAGCTTTACTGGAAAATTTTAAGTCAAAGGATTAGAGCAAAGAACATAATTTAAAGAAAACAATAGGATAAGAATTAAAAACTCATGTGTATCTAAACAAAGCTTGCCCCTTTTTCTTGTTCTATTAAAGTAGAGAAAAACATTTATATGTAGGCAGTTAAGAAACACAAGAGAGAAATAAGGATGCTGGTATTATCAACATTGCAGTCAACATTCAAACAACTAAACTGTATAAACACCAAACACAAGGAAAACATTAGTTATCTCAAATCAGAATGTTGGAATAAATGTCTTGTTTGTTCCCACCCAGTCACTTTTCTACTTATATTGTATCACTTAAAGTCTTTTAAAAAGTCAAGTATATTAAATATTCCCTCCTATTTATACTGTTGAAAGTAAGAAAAAGGTGACATCTCCAAGTTTTCCAGTGGAAAAAAATCTGAAAACAAAGTTTTAGGGAAGGTAACATAAACTGCACTAAAAACTAAAATCAGAAGGCTGTAATTTCAAACTTGTTGTTATTAATTTTTGTAACCTTTGCAATAATAAAGCTTATACAAAATTCTCAGGTAACTGATTAGTACACTTTAGTTAATGCTTTGTTCTTTCTTTTTTAAATTAATCCTTAAATTCCATATAATCAACATCTTTTGATTATATATTATTGAAGAACAAAAAAATATCATATATCAACCTTGCTTTCTTGTTTAAAGTCTTAAAAACAGCTCTGAAATAGTTCTCCAAAAAAAAACTAAACTATTACTTATCAAAGAATGCTTTCAAAAATACTTATGCTACATAATGTCAAAACACAATAAGAACATCAAAAATTTACAAGATTATTTTAGTAATTTTAAAAATCTCTGCCTTTTTTTATTTAAAAGTTTATTTTCTTTATAGGGTCTTTGAAGAACATACTATTCCACCAAAGTTTATAAGAAAGCCTGAGATATTCTTCAATTAACAGGAACAAACACTTGTTTTAGCATAAGTAAAACACAACTGGACCTGTTACCCTTTCACAAAGAACGAAATCACTTAGGCACCTACCCTGTAAAACATAGATCTTCTCTTTGTACTCCACAGCATTATGAAACTCCATTGCAACAGGCATTGCACAAACAGTTGTCCAACAATTTTCTCTGCTGTCATAGCACTCCACAGATTTTAGTGAGTTTCTCCCATCACCTTCATAAACACGCCCTCCAATGGCATACATCTTACCACAGCAATATACCAGTTTGCAGCCTATTCTGGCTCGAAGCAAGGATGGTTTGGATAGCCACCTATTGGTGGAATGGTCATACATCCAGAAATCATTTTCTGCCTTATGGTCGATGGATACTTCACTGCTGCTTGGCCTGTATCCTCCTGCAATGTAAATGTCATTATCTGGTGATATAAGAATCCCTACTTCTCTTAGATCATTTGGTGGTTTGCATAATTTAAACACTCTTCCTGTGACTATATCTAGACAAGGCACCGTTTGCTTCTTTCCTGAGTGTTTGTGGGCAGCATCAAAACATATGATCATTTCAGATGCAGTCATCCCAAGTCTCTGTGTACAGCCATTAGTACTGGATGGTCCCTTCTCTACATAGCTTTTGGCTATAGCCTGTGCAAACTGAGGTGGGATTTTCTCTATAAAGGTATCTTCCATCAGAGGAAAACGTATGCATTTGTCAAAAATTTCTGGAAGGTGCACTTTTCTTTCATTCTGTTCATGTTCAAACCACCTTACAATGCTTTCATAAACATGCTCTTCTCGGTCTACGTTTAAATCATCACTGTCTAGTATACTTATCAGTTGGTCTTTTGTCAACTGGAGAAACTCTTGTTCTTTGGTGACACACAGAAACTTTTTACGAATGTATTCTTTCGATCGATCTCCGAGTTCCTGATGACCATAATGATCAGCAAAGATGAAAACCCCAATAGAATTTTGTGGGTCCAAATGACTGATCATATACTTAGCACACTGGTCTTGGATGGAAGGAATCTGGAAGATGCTAGCTGCAGTAAACAAGGCTTGAACATTGGCCTCTGTCAGAACAAATCTGGAGGTGTAGGCATACTTCAACACTAAATCCATCGATTCAGCTTCAACACCGACTATTCGCACTTCTTTTTGAGAACTTTCTGTAAGGCCACTAGTGAACATAGATCTACGAAGGAAAGAGTACTTAATATTATATGTGCGCTACAAGTAAAAGTTAAGGTGGCAAATATTTAAGCGTATACATTTACCACCAAGATAACCTTTGAAACTAAAAAATATTTCCTAATGTGTTGCCTGATATTCTGAATGGGGATAAAAGTTGCTCATCTATAGGATTATAGTCTGATTAATCTCAAAAACCTTATTATTAGGACCAGACCACTTTGTGCCAACTCTGAGATAAGGAGCATATACCTAATTAAAGCAAACCAAAAGGTGGCATGGAATATTCCAAGACACCTTATTTTACTTGGAGCCCCATATCCAAGCTTCTGGTCAAGTTGCCTTAGGGACCTGAGATCTTAAATCACCAGGCCAGACACAAGTTGAAGAATACCTATAGAGTGTTAATGTGATGTATTAGCATATAGAGACTAATAAAACATTTTATGTCCCAGTGGAAATTTACAAGGCAGCTGGTGCCCCAAATTTTTCATCTTTAGAAAAACAAAACATTCTTCCTAAATTCTTATTCTCTATCTACTCCCATTTAAAACTATCTCATGATGCTTCCTTAATCATTATCAGGAATATTAAGAATATCATTTCACTTATATTTGGACATTTTGAAAAACCTTTCCTTAAAAAAATATACTTAATATTCTCCAAGTTACCATAGTTTACTTATTTATATCTGTGTATGAATAAAGATTATGGTAGGCTGATAATAATGCCCACTTCTAAAGAGAATTTAAGAATTAACTGACTCTTGGAAATGAGTTTTAAATCTCAAACTTTTTCCATTGAGACCAAGGTGTTGTGTGTGTGTGTGTGTCTGTCTTTTAATGTCCGTACACTCATGGGCCTTTCTTTACCAAAACATTAAATAGCCAAAACCCTGGCTCTTTATCTAAGTATTAGTTATTTACAAACATTATTTGCATTTCTTTTCCTCCTTCAAGGTTTCTTTCAAGGCTGCTCTTAAAATTAAAATATAAAAATCAAATCAAAAGCTCTTTTAAGACTTTTCAGAAAGGGGCTATATGCACTTTAGAATACTTACTAGATGTCTGTTGAAGAAACTGACCCAACATTGGTAACAAAGTTAACTATACAGGTCCAGACACCTCCCATTTTATTTTTAAGTGTTATGCTATGAAAAATATCCTTAAATAGGGAGATTTCCTGTCACTTTTTACTCTCCATCAAATGAATTTAAAAATGCAATCTGACAAATACTGAAGGTATCATAAGGACCCAGCTTGCTGCCTTGGTCAACCATTTTTTAGTCCTATTTTTACTTCTACAATGTAAATTTTAAGTTTAATATCTCACAGCCTTTTTTTGATGACTGAAAACTAGATGTTCCAATGAATGAGCTGGTTTTCAATTCAGGTACAGAAAAACTCAGAGATGCAGTTACCAATTAAAAAGAAAAATAAAGCCCTTCATTAGGCACAGACTAGTTCCCAAAGGAGAACATTGCCATATATCCCATTATCATGGGAACAACTACTGACCTAAACAGGCTGGTGTCACACACAGGAGTAGGACACCTGATGAGTTCTCCTCCGTTCTAATAGGTTCTTTATGTAAACTATATAAAGCAGGAGTACTTTGTCACACAAAACCTTTAGCAGCAAAACGTTCATAATAATACAAATTTTAATTCTGAGAAATCACTGGGGTCATGAAATAGCCATGCCAGATTCCAAATTATTCCTAATTCTTCCACCAGTGATGCAAGACTTAGAAACAGTTAAGTACAACTTTCTAGATTTCACATAAGCAACACCACTGTGCCAAGAAACTTCTGTACAAAAATAACAAGCAAGAGGTAAAAACCTAATTCTTCAGTTTTCTAGACAAGTATCTTCATTTGAATTCAGATATCTAATTTCTTGAAAATTAAGAAAATCTATTATAGCATACTTTTTAAAAGTGATTCATCTAGGTCTTCAAAACTAATTTTAATGATGACATTTAATGATATAAGACAGACTATAACATTTCAGTATGACACATTTTTACTTTGAAGTTCTAATGTATTTTTTTTTAACTAATCAAACCTTATATAATAAAAACTTCTGAAAGGCAGCTTTAAAGAGGACCCACACTCTTGTTCCTTAGAAGTCATATAGTGACTAAGAAGCCTGGCTCTGGAATCAAATCCAACCTCTGCCACTTACTAGTGAGATAATTTAGACAGGCCACTTAATCTCCCTCTGCCTCAGTTTTATCACATGATGAAGGGAATAACAACTGCAAAGAGACAGAATTTTAAAGATTATATAAAGCAATATACGCAAAGTAAGCTTAGCCCAGAGCTTCTTAAGTACTTAATTATGACATATATTTAAAAAATGTTACTCAGAAATAACGTAACCATATCTGATAGTCCAGATAAGCGAATCTCACCAGTGGTTTCCATTACCAGGCCAAACCTCGTATGTTTTGTGTAGTATAGGAGGAGTTTCTTCTTTTTCCTTTCCAGTTCACTGCCTCTCGTGATGGTTAATACTTAATGGTCCAATGACCTACCCCAGCAAGTCTAAATGGTTACATCACAAGCTTCAGGCTGAACTGACTATATTTAACTCAGTGTTCTGAGAAATAGGAACCAGAAACTACTGTGTGGAACACTACACTGCTATATGCCCTATAAAGGTAAGCACCTTCAAAAAGCACACTTCAAGGCTGGTTGAGAAAATTATTTCCTGTTCATTCATGCACCATTATTGGACATTGAAAGGCTTAAAAAAAAATGAGCACTTGCAACAAAAGGAGAACGTAAACTCAAGCAGGAAGCTGCCTTTATCACTGGTTCTTTTCCGAGTATGAAATTATTTTTCAGACTCCAGTTTTAAAATTTTACTTTTCAAAGTTTTATGATATACAAAGATGAATATAAATGAAAATGAAAACTTATCTTTAAAAATGCTTCTGGAAATCTTGAAAACAATCACTAGTTTGGGACATAAGGTACACAGAAAACTACATTTCATTTATTTTTATTTCACTGCTTTTATCCCTATGGTATTAAAACAAACTATTAATAGTAATCTGTTTTCAAAAGAACAGGTTATTATGTTTTAAACTCTAAAAGAGTTACATGCACTAAAGAAATATGTATCATGGATACATTTTTGGAACAAATTCTAGACCAGCACTGTGCAGTGAAATTTTCAGTGACAGAAATGCTCTGTATCTGGGCTGGACAATGTGGCAGCCACTACCTACATGTGACTACTGAGCACTTTACATGTGGTTACTGTGCCTGAAGAACTGAGATTTTCATTTTGTTTAATTTTAAATCAAGTTTCAATGCCACATGTGTCTAGTGGCTGCCATATTGGGAAGCACAATTCTAGATTTTCTGATCATTTACCTGAAACAAACAGAAACACAATCACTACCTTAAAAAAAAAAAAAAAAGTAATCACCTGAATTCTGGAAGAATCTGACAAGTCAAAAACAAACAAACAAAAAGAAATACACACAGGCCCTGTTGTCTATTTTCAGGAAACAAACTCACGGGTTTCACTTCACTGCAGCGTGTCAGTCTGGTGACCAAATGGCCAGCGCTGAGGGAGAAAGGGAACTCGGTGCGGATATGGACAGAAGTCTCCACCATCATCATACCTGAAGTAAGGGCTGATTGCAGCAAGAACGTTTCTATGACAGGAAAATGTTTTCCCGTGATCCACTTCCACTACAATGTCTGTCAACTGTCCTTCATCGTACATTGTTTTGAGTTGCTTAAGAATACTGCAAGCGTGAAAGGGGTCCACGGCATCGCTGGCTGTGTCTGAAGATGGAATTCCATTCGGTGTTGGGGAAGGCTTATTTAAATCTAGGAGAAAAATCGTACAACCACAAGGAGTTCGGAGCCAGTTACGGCGTCGCGGGGTTTTTTGTTTTATTTTGGTTTTGATTGCTTGGCTTGTTTGATTCCCGTACAAACATACATGTATGCATATGTACACCGGCAAAAGGAACCGCGAGGCTGGACGCGGCAGAGGGCGAGCTGCGATGCAAGTTCAAACACCAGCCGGCTCCTGCGGGCGCCCGGCGAGCCCGCTGCCCGCGCTCGCGGAGGGTCCGTGCGGACGGAGCAGGCGAGGTGACCGCGGCGACTCCGCCGACAGCCGGACGTCCCAGCCGAGAGCCGAGGGCAAGAGCCGCACGAGGGACGCGCGAGGGATGGCGGCCGCCAGTACCCCTTCAACCGCCTCCCGAAAGGTCGGAACGGCGGCGGGTACCCGGCCTCCCCATCCCGGTCCGACCGGACCGCCCACCGCCCTCCACGCCATCCATCCGCCCTCCCCGCATCCCTCTTCACCTCTCCATCTTTCTCTCCGGCTCCTCATCTCCACGCTCGCAGCCCGAGCCTGTCCCCCGGCCCACCTCCCTCGCAACACACCTCCCTAGCCACGATACGACCCACCTGCCGACGCGGCCATTTCTCCACGGGGCCACGGCTCCAGCTATTTAAAGAGGAAATGTCATTTCGCTGCTCCCTCTCCCGGGTTCCGGCTCTTCTAAGCTTCCTCCAGCCAATGGAGTGGCCTGTGCATCCAGCTCCTCCCCTAACCTCAGAATTCCTGGCGTTGATTGGTCAAGACATGCGCAAGGCACCTCGGGAAATGTAGTTTTATTGCCCCTGCTCCCGCGTGGTCTGGGTGGGGTGGAGGCCAAAGCCGGGGATTCCTATTGGCTGGTTCTGGCAGAGGCGGAGCTGGGAGGCCTCCAGTGTCCTTGGGGCGCGCAGTGTCTGCCAGGAGAGGTAGGCTTCTGGCGGAAGAGAGCTGTCATTCTGTGGATCTCGGGCAGGGAAAGCTCTTGAAAGACAAATTTCCCCATTTTAGGCCTCTCTCAGGCCCTAGGCTCTTTTTTCTTTTTTTAAATCATGTTCTTAATTCCCTAAATCTCCTGCCAATGCCTGCTTCCGGTATGAAAGCAGGCTGTGAAACCAGAAAAATTTGGAAATGGACAAGAGCGCTGTTGTGCAAAAATGCAAAGGAAATCTGACACCGCACCCCGAAAAAAAATATCAGGAGGCCCAAAAGCAACCCATCTCTGATGAGTCACCTGTGAAGTAGCACTGCCTTGGCCCAGTCCTCTGGTTTCCGCAGATTCACCTGGTCTGGTTACAAGGCTGCTTGGGATCCTAACTCCCACTCGCCGCCTCGCTTTCCTGGGACACTCAGGAACACCTGTTCGCTTAAGAGCACATGGACGTCATAGGGGGAAATGGAGGAGTTTAGATACTTAATAGTCTGGGATTTCCTTTGAAGAAATATTGGAGCGTGCCTTGAGCCTGGAGCCAAGGACCACTACTGAATATGGGACTTAGATGGGACCCTTTAATCTTGAGTACTTAGCTCCCTCACCTGTACCATGTGAATAAAAATACCTGTTCTTTCTGCCTCCTAGGCTGCAAACCTTTTGAAAGGAAGTAGACATTTTACTGTTGATATGTCTTGATTTACTTGTCTTATGTTTCTAGTATCTAAAAGGGTGCTTGGCACATTACAGATACTTAATATTTAAAAAATAAATGTCAGGCACAAATGAGCTAACATTGGAAATGCTAGTTCTAGACCTTTGACATGTAAGGAAGTATTGTCAGTGAATTGGGGAAAAAATTTTAATAGAGATACAGTTAGTTCATGACCATAGTTTTTCTAACATGGAAAAGATTAAAAAGTTGATCTTGGAATTTAAGTTGTCGTGAAGAAAGAGAGAAAATGATGAAAAGCAATCCAGTTCTCTCCCTTAGGTCTACTAAAAAATTTACTTATATTCAGGAAAATATAGTTACATGTGAATTAACAAGAATTGGTGTCTGGGATGTGTGGGTGTTGATAAGCACTTATAACTCTTAATGAATTCTCTGTCTGCACAGTCCTGCATGGATGAAATTGATAAATTGATTGAACTTTTGTTACTCATAACTTTACATTTCCTTTTTTATGAGTTGCTTTCTAACTTATGGAAATATTGATGGTATTATGGAAACAATGGCACTAGTCCTTAGGGTTGCACATTCAGCAAATAAAAGTGCAGGACATGCAATATTTGGAACATACTTAAAGTAAAATAGCATCTGTTGCCTCAAATTTAATTGGTGCTCTGTATTTTATCTGACAACCTTTTCAAACCTATTAAAATAGAGGTTTTCTTTTGTGTTTTTTGTTGTTGTTGTTGTTTGTTTTTGTTTTTGTAGCTACCTATCTCAGCCTAAGCAACTTGGCCAATTTTCTTTTTAATTCTCTCATAATTAATAAAGAGACTTGGCAATACTGGGTAATTAACAGAAAGCTTTCTGATTCTTTGACAAAAATTTCTAAAGTTGGGGGTGGACAGAATACAAAGAAAAAAAACCAATCTAAATAAAAATAGAAAAAAAATGAAGATTTGTAATTGCAAGGTTGCCATGTATATGACACTGTAAATGACTCCATTCTACTGAATGAATGACATTACATAGTAAAAATTTCTTCATTATTAGAAATGCATTTTTAAAAAAACAGTTAAGTAGAAGAATTTAAAAATTGAGCCATTAGTTTCAGGGTTAATACTAAATAGCCAAGGGCTACAGCTTTGTTTTTAAATATATCTAATTTAAATTTTTAAAAACCTGTCAATCCAGGAAGGCAGCAGCAAAGGTAAACCAGTTTTCTTCTTAATGTATTAAGTACTATATTGTCCTCTGAAGTAATTTTCTCATATAGTTACAGTTCAAAGTAAAATTTAGTAAAGATAAAAATTGAAAAAGCAAACCAGGACATTTGAAGGATTATATTTAGTTCAAATTAGACTTTAGAGCTTTATTTTTTTTTTTAACATTTATTATCTAGGAACTAGAAGCAATGATGATTGCTATAATTATGGTTGTTTAAGAGTAGAAAAGTTTTTGCATTTAAATTCTTGCACAAATGAAGGATTGTGAAAGCAGCAACTTTGGAAAATGAAAAAATTGCACAGTGGACTTTCTAGGTTATTTTTTCTGCTTCCACTTTAAGAGAATGACTTCTGGCAATTATCAGCTGTGCCCAGGCTACTGTTGATAATAATACCACCCAATACAAGAATGATAAGAACTGTGATGAAGAAAGTGTAAGAGAAAGTAGGACTTTACTTCTGCAAGTTGATTGTGCCATTTTCCAATTTCCCTGTTCACTTCTGGGATAGGCTGTGAAACTGACTAGAGCTACATAAAATGAAAGTAGAGGGAATACCTGTGACTCTTACCTTTTAGCAAGTATATGTCTTATATATTTATCTTTCTCAAACTACAGCTACAACAAAATATGACATTTTTCCTTGCTGAAGACTTTTGTATTGGCTGAATTAATGCCTAAAATGAAGCAACAAAAGTAATTACTTGAATGTAAATTTAATCTAACACCACATACTTAAATTTTTTTTTGTTTAAATTTCCAGAAACTTGTATATTGTATATGATTTAGTTTCTTTTCAATACAAAACTCTAAACAGATATTAACATCAGGCTTACTGATTGGACACTACTGACCTTTGTTGTATTTTAATTTTTATTCCCTTTGAGGTGATGCTAATGAAGATTCAACTTGGAAATAACTAGAAGATAGCATTTTGTGAGTAACTGAATTTGATCATACTGGGAATATTAAAACACATTAATTTTTCTTTTAAGTATTTGAAATTCAGCATAAATGTGAAAAAAGAGACTGTAAAACTAGTGGCAGGGATGTTCAATTTCTCAAAATACGTATTACTACACTCCCAACCTGTATTCTAAGCAAGTACCGTATGAAGTCATATTTTTTATACCAAAAACAATAGGTGTAGATGATAGATGCAACTACAGATAGAGACTGAATGTCTGTGTCCCTTCAAAATTCATGTTGAAACCTTATCTCCACTGTGTTGGTGTCAGGAGGTGAGGCCTTCCAGAAGTTAGAGAATGGAGCCCTCATGAATGGAATTAGTGCCCTTTGTAAAAGTGACTCCAGAGAGCTCCCATTGTGTGTGGACACAATGGGAAGACAGCCTCTGAACAGGAAGTAGGCCCTCACTGGAAACCAAATCTGCCAAGACTTTGAACTTGGATTTACCATTCCCCAGAACTGTAAGAAATAAATTTCTGTTGTTTATAAACCTCCCAGTGTGTGGTATTTTGTTACAGCAGAAGAGACTTTGCAGTTGTGGTTAAATTATGGATTGGGAGATGGGGAGAGTGTCCTAAATTATCGAGGTGGACCTAGTGCAATCCCAGGGTCCTTCACAAGAAAAGAACAAAGGTTAACTTCAGAAAAAGGAGATGTGATGATGGAAGCAGGGGGTGCCAACACTTGAGGCTGCCAACACCTTTGGTTTAGGATTGCTGACATCCAGTACCTTAAGATAATTTGTGTTGTTTAAAACCACTAAGCTTGTGGTAACTTGTGAATTAATACATGAGTGCATTTGCAAAGTTGAATTTTTCTCTCCTCTTTCCTCCTTGTTATTCCATCAAATGTTTAATATTAATAAAAACTGAGAGAATCTCAAAATATAAAGGAACTCATTTGGCTCAGCGGTTAGAGCGTCGGCCTTCGGTCCAGAGAGACCCGGGTTCAGTTCCCGCTAAGGGCATATACCTTGGTTGCAGTTTGTCCCTGTACAAAAAATGGAAAAATGTCCTCGGGTGAGGATAAAAAAAAAAAAAAAAGGAACTCAAATGAGTAATACTTTAAAGGAAAGACTAGGAAACGAAACCTTGTGAGGTAAACAATTACCCCAAGTCTATCCATTAACTGTACAGTTAACTTGACCGCAGTAGGGGGTCACTTGGTCATCTTGTCAGGTGAGTGAGATTCAACGTGAGAGGGACCAGTACAAAGGCATGAATATGCTGGAGGTATGGATCCTTGGGGGCCATCTTTAGAGATTAACTATTTTACTGGGTTTAAGTCTCAAAGATAGCACAGTAATATGATAGAGATGTCAAGTCTCATACTGTGGCAGTGCTTTCTGTGGGTCCGGAATGAAAATTATAGCACTCAGCACATTAGATGTACGACACAGATGTCTTACATGGGGCTCTCTTGCATACCTAGTTCAATCCCTAACAAAGAAATGTGCTCACTGAAACAGAGTAGGTTTGACCAACTCAGTTTATAATAAAACACGGAGAAGCACCATGTATTAACTGATTTTGTATCATTTGAAATATATTGAGGCCATTGCAATAGTCTGGTTATTATTTAACAGGAAAGGAATAAGGGGGAGACAAGATAATATAGGCATGCCATTTATACAGCTTTTGCCAGAAAGCTATAACACTCCAGGTCTGTTCCCTTCTTATCAGTGGGGGAAGGGACTGAACAAAGGCAGTTCAGACACATGCCCAGTAAAGTCTGAGTGACCTGAGAAGGTGCCTACCTGTCCGTCACACCTGGGAACAAGTCGTGGCCAGAATGAGCTTGGCCAATGCAAGTGGATGCACCCTGAATACTTAATCTCCTAGACAAAGGAAAGCCTTC